TACAGTATTTTATATTTTATATGTTTTGTATAATAATAAGTAAAAAAAATATGTTTATCAGTACTTTTTTTATCAATTACTAGACATTTCAGACAATCCCCATGTAAATTCCAGGTGACCCCATATGGGGCTGTAACCCCAAGGTTGAAAAACACTAAATTAACTCCTGAGTTTAGAAACTAGTATGTACATTATTGCATAATATCTCTTTGCTGTTGCTGGCAGTACCTGCGGCTGTGTATCACGCAGTGTGGAAGTCATCATGTAATTTTCGGTGCGTGTAACCAGATTATATAAACATACCAAGCAGTGACTAAATCAAGTGGTGATAAGTGATTGTCAGAGCCACGATTTTGACAACACGGGAGACTCTTTCAGGGCAACTGCAAGTACACACGTGTGTACCGGGTTTTTTCTAATACGAAGACTAAAGAATACGTAAGACGCAAAGTACTGTACTTCAGTGATGAGAAAACTGCAGCGGTGACAAAAACGTTTTTTTTCAGTTGTTTGGTTTCTATCATGGACACCACATTACCTCACATTACTCATTAAGAAGTAGTAGTACAGTTGAAAACCAGCCTGTACTGGTCAGTTCGGAACAATATTTATATAAAGACTACGTGTTGTGTAAGGGTCATGAAGTACAATTTAATTTATGAATTGCAGAGTATTAAGGCCACATCAAAGATAAATAAATATCTCAAATTATGGGGAGAAAGTCTTAGTATATCAGACTAAATGTATATAATGCATAACCCTGAGGACAAATTTATCTAAAATATATTTGAGGTTTAAAACTAATCAATAAATAAAATTATACTTTATAACACTTAAACATATTGTTATAAATACAGGAGGGTTCCAAACCATACCTGGGTTAGGAGATTAGTCATTATTCATTCATTTTCACTATTCAGATTATTCAAAGCATTTTCTGAACCCTTATTTTTTTTGCAGAAAATGGGCAATAAAAGTAAGAAATAAATCCTTTGACAGAAGCAGTTAAGGTATTGTAGTACTGTATATACAACAACATTTGAAGGTTGATCAAGGTTTCAGGTTTACTCTTTTTTTTACATTTTTCCAGTATTCCATGACGAACTAAATCGACACTGGTTATGAATCAGAGTCAAGTGGCATTTTCGAAGTTACGATGCGTTGCATGAGATTCGGAGGGACTAACCAAACGTGCAAAAAAAACAGCTCCTGAATTACGGAAAAAGCTTGTTGTTTTTTAAACCTAAAAATCTGCGACCTACATTTCCTGTAAACTCATACTTTCCATTTTCATCACACTGCATGGAGAAGATGGGCGCATTTCTTGGACAATACACCCACACTTTTTTTAGTGCTGCGTTCCTAAATGTGCCTGTGTGACGGCTGGAGAGTGGTGTGAAGAGCAGCTTTGTACTGGTTGTTGAGTCATTGTGAACCTAACCATGAATCAGAGATGGGGAGAGAGAAACCAGCAAACCTAGATTAAGAATTCTTTCTGTTAAACTGCATTCTTAGTTGTCATGTACTAAACTAACACGAACCCAACAAAAGAAAAACTACCGGGGACTGAGGAAGAGAAGAAGAGGGAGGAAAAAGAGACCTAGATAAACATATTGATGGAAAATGATGAAATGAAAATGTTGTTTTGTGGCGAGGACATCGGCCATTAAGAGACAATAAGAGAGAGAGAGAGAGAGACTTCCCACAGGGGAGTCCCCAAACTTATTGGTAGCGGGTCTTATTCATCCCACATCTTTATGTCTATGGCTTTATATCTTGCATCAAAGCTGTTTGGCTTTATTTGTGTTGTGTGCTGCCGTCCCTACACAGACTCATATCTCGTCAAGTATCCGAGGGAATTCCCTTTACTGTTATTTTTGATGAACTGTATGATAGAAGCGCCAATGACATTCAGGTCCACAAACAAGTTGTCGGCCATCATCAGCAACTCATTTAGGCTTAATAGATGCACTATTTCCAGGAACCTGTATGATGACTAAAATAAATCAGGCCCACCAGAGCTGTTATCTATACACCATGTAAGGGGAAAGTCCCTGCAGCCACAGGATGGCAACCCGCTGCCTGTTAGGGAAACTGTATCTTTGAAAAAAGAGAAAGAAAATAAATTAACAACTAACCTGTTCTCTTAGTCTGATGATCAGGGATGGCCCCCATTGGTCATTGATCGGGCCATGGGTGGTAATGTAGTGGGGCAGGGTACCTTTACTGTGTGCAAAGTGACCATTGGCACTGTGGCAGTTTTACACAGACAAAAAGAAGGATGAAGAATTAAAATTAATGAAACAGAAAAATAATTTTCATCCTTAAATCTGGATTTACAATGTCCATTACCCTGGATGGTTAACTCTAATTTATAAAACTCATCCACCTTTACTGCCTCTACTCTTCGCATCTCGCCTCACGCTCGTTTACACACACGTACTTCATTTGGCTCCTGCTGACCTTCATTCGACTTCGCTCCATATCTAATCTGTCAACCCGTCCATCAACATAGCAAACAAAAATGGCTCACGACATATACTTTATGAGCATTTATGATAGATAGATAGATAGATAGATAGATAGATAGATAGATAGATAGATAGATAGATAGATCCGTTCCCGCCCTTTAAAAAACTACCTCATTAGTGCTAATAACAATGGAAAACACGTTTTAATTGCTAAAGAGACATAAACACAATATATATATATATAATATATAAGAATTCCAAATAAAATGCGGTTTTAATTATTAGTTCTTACCTTCGAGACAGACGATACAGTAGCGGCTATTCAGTATGGCTGCATGTGCTGCGGAGGAGGAGGGGGGGAAGGAAGGGAAGAGAGTTAGCCCGTACGTAGATACTTTATTCCGTAGCGTAATATTAAAAAATAAAAAGTATTAAAAGGCCTGGCATCATTGATAGAAAATGTAAATATATTTGCAGCTTCTTAATTATACAAGCGACACCTGTTCTACTGCTGAAGAGGTTATTCTGGCAAAACTGTAATTCTACCTCCCTCTAGCGTTGTGGTCATAAATTGCGTGTTTAATTGCCTAATCCACAACCCATGTCCAACCAGCACATCCTCATCAAATCGGATGTGCGATTAAATTATTGCTCTATGTGTTGTTGTTTTTACTGTATAAACTAAATATAATACTGACTGCATATACATTTGTCACTGCTTTATGTGAATTTTCCTCAATTACACGAGCAGCGCTGCTCTGTGGAGGCAGCTTTGTTGGAGCACAACGATTTTACATCGCTCACAAAAGAGAAACTAGTGGGTTCACTTTAAATAATAATATAAAAGCATTGTGCTTTACTAAAAACTGCTACGGAAATTAACGGCATCTACATTCTGTATTGGAAACGGAGAGGTGAGTGGTATGCACCTTGCAACCGCTAGATGCCACTAAGTCGCTACGTTTAGCCGGTGGAAACTAGTTCACACACGGTTGCCAAGTTTACGTTTTACAAGCTTTTACAAGTAGGGTTTTCTGTACATTTGCAGGCGAATAATAATATTCGCCTTTGTTTTGTACACGATTGTTAAAAAAGGTGTAATTAAGATCATTTTTATTTCTATTATTCTATTTTTGCACTTAACATAGATCTTCCCTTTTCCCTGACCCTAACCACCCTTCCTTCTGACAAACAAAAACTTCTACCTCAAAATAGCCTCTTGCCAAGTGGGTGTTAGAAGAAAGTTCCGACCAGGACAAGTGGTCCTGTTCTGATGGAGATATAGCTAAACCTATACATCCCCAAACAATGTTGTTAGCATCCAGGGGCTAACAACATTCTGGCCATACAGGAGCTGCACTCTCACCATTGAATCTTGAGGGGGCAGTGTGTGTATCAACAACTGCTGGAGCAGAAATGCTGAGCTCATTTTAACTGCTCCTTCGGCAGATTTTGATTGAGATTTTGACTGTAATACACATAGAGTCACTCAGAACAGTCAAATCCAACCTGAACCAGACTATAGGGTTTACAAAACCTGCCCAGCATGAAACTGCAGCATAAAAAGCCACAGCGCAGCTTGGTGAGCGGCAGCTTTTAACACCCACATCCTTGCATGTCTGCTGAGCTGACTGGACCCCAGGGGGCCTCAACATCTGGGATGCTCACCCTGGGAACATCTCCCAGGGCGGAGTCCTCTGCTGTTTAATCCCATGACCCACAACTGCTGCACTCGGTGGACCACATTGTGAAAAGCATTCTTAAGACACAGGAGTTGTGGGCCTCGACCATGTTGACAAAGACCAGTTGGTAAATTAACTTGGCTACAACTACAACCACCAGAATCTTAAAAATTGAGAAAGCAAAGATACTCACCGTTGACTTCAGGAAGAACCAGCACAGTCAAACCAACAGGTAGGACGGGCTCCAGATAACATTCAATCCTTCCTGCCATGTCTGACCAGAGAGAGAGAGAATATTATCAGAGATCTCACTATCCACAATAGCTTTCTCCCATCGGTATCAGACTGTATATTCATATGTATTTATCTCTGTTAAACTACTTATACTGTGACACATTTGTTGCACTATTTTAGGTTGTTGCAACAGTAATGTGCACGGCTTGATGTGGTATGCATGGCAATAGAGCTTCATTCTATTCTAAAAGTAAAATAAAGTGTGCCTACTCCCAGCGTGCAGAAATAACCCTGTCTTTTTTCTCAGACAAACACGTTGGACTACAGGGTGTGAAAGAGGGGGTATGAAGAGCAGGAAGTGACAGTGATCATTTCACCAAATCGTCTCAATCCGTGGTTACAACACCAACACACTTAAAACACTGCATGGATACAGGTAAACAGGTGTAGAAGTAATTTTGTTTTAGAAAAAAAAAAGGTGTTTTAAAATGAACATTTTAAAATGAATTAAGTTGAATGAAAAAAAAGTACTTTTTGGGATTCAGTGTGGTTGAGCAAAGTGGAATCACAGATGAAGGAATACGATTTGCTTACGGACTTAAACAACATATTTGTCATGATTCTGTTTATTTTGCTAATCAACAGAATTACTCAGAACCTGGCCAAATCAAACACTTTGTGTCTACTCTTGTTTCCACTGATCATCAACCACTGAGAACATGTGGGTAATTTGCGGTTTGTGTGAATTGAAACACAACTTCGTCTTCTAACTCAGACATTTGGCTAGCTTAACTCGAATCATCCATTAAAACATCAAACACCTTCGATGACTTGATGCCAACCTGGTTGTGAGGTGGTTGTGATTTTGGAACCGTGTTCAAAGATATTTTGTGAGCAGAAAAGAAAGTGAAACATTCTGTTAGAAAAGACTCACAATGCGACACAAGCCCCTGCTATTATTTTCACAGGAAGGAAACGCGCATCAAAGCTGTTACCATTCGACCCCCGTTTGTGCGTAGCCTTTGCATCTTCGTGCACTTCAGTGTCTCGTGTGGTATTGTGTGTGCAGAAAAAGATCAGTGCAACGATCGGATGAGGAGTAGATATGAGAAGTTCTGTTGCAATTTTTAACAGCCTATAAGATTCAACTGAAGCTAAAAAATGTCAAAAAACAAAAAAAACAAAAAAAACCCAACACATTTTATGTATGTTTTGGTTTAAGATGCATTTTACCGATAAACTGAATATATTTTATATTTAGCTCATGCTATGTTTTCACTGAGAAAATAACTAAAATGACAATTTTATTCATTTCACAAAAGGATATATTTAGATCATATTTAAACATCAGAAACGTCAGACCTACACCAGATAAATATTTTGAAAATGCTACTCAAAAATTAGCTATTTAGTGTTAACTGACCATCGACATAAAAGGCAGGGGTGTCAAACTCATTTTCACCGGGGGGCCACATCATCAATACAGGGCCGGTTGTAACTGTAAGACTGTATAGATGTAACTACTCCATAATGTATTCATAATTCATCATGTTTTTGCAATTGATTATTATTTATTAAGGTTACAAATATTGTTCATTGCTGTGTGATAAAAAAAAAAAGAAACTCTTCTGCATGGAGCTCCTGTCGGCCGTAAAACATGACTTGGTGGGCCACATTTGGCCCCCGGGTCTTGAGTTTGACATGTGATGTAGGAAAACAAAAACACATGTCTATATACACGACTGCATCAATTAAAAAAAACAATTTCACAGCCCTCCTTTGTGTCACATGTATAACATTCAATATTGATCAAAGAAAGGTGAGTGCGTTTCATTGCGGTTCTGAGTGTAAAGACTAGCGACCACAACACACGCCGACTTCATATCTTGTAAAGACCAAAGAAGTTGGCATAATTTTCGTGACTTAAATAAGCGGGCTGCGAAACATTTACATACACCCGGTCGTATTTCTGCAGCTGCACAGATGAGGCGAGGTAACTATTGGACGTCCAGGAGTGCGGCACCTGACGAGGGCACGGCACAGTTCTGTGGGCGTCCATCAGAGTCAGAGGGATGGAGTGATCTCTTCTCCTCACAAATATCGAGTGAGTGAAGGAGGACGTTGAAGAGCAGCTCTTGAAGATAAGCTCCACTCGGGAGTAAATGTGATAAATCCCGCTTTCATTGACCTGCAGGCCTCCATCTTGGAGGCGGTAGGTTACATCTCCTGATGTGAACGCCTGACCGACTTTGGACTCCCATCTCAGAGTCTCATGAAACACTCTTTTTTCAATTCGCCCTGGAACAGATATAATGAACGTACAATTTTTTGTAAAAAGTAGAGTAAAGCAAAAGTCACATAAATAAATATATATTTATATACATTACCTATCACATGAGCTGCTGATCTTGTTCTGTCCTCTTCATGCAACGTAGGTTCATAAACACCTAAAAGCATGTTTCACTTTAGAATCAAGTCCCACTTTGAATTTGGCTTTGTTATGACATACTTTCTACGGGGAGACGTTATACCCACCAACTTGTTTCTGAGGTGCCTCGGGTTGACCCTGCGAACGAAATGAAAGAAATCTCAATGGCATGTTACACGAAACCCCTCCCCCACAGTGCTTTCCTTCCGCCCTGTGACTCAGAGAGGACTTCCTGTCTCGCTGGACCTGTCACCACAGAGGTGAAATTGTGTCGAATTGCAAGTTTTTTAAATGTCAAGACAGAGATGAGGTGCGCTGACTTCATTAATTATTAAACTTCTCACAACTCCCAGACAACTTTCCAACCATGTTTCCGTACTCCTACCTCTGTCACCATGGGTTTTGCAAAGGTGGGAGACATCGAAATGTTTCAACAACTTCTACTTTCCATCTTTTTTTTAAATCACCCAGCACACAAGTGTCCATTTGTCCTTCATGACATTTCTTAACCAGGCTCTCTTCTCCATTCAATAAAATATCATCATCATCATCATCATCATATAAAATAGCTGCACTCACCTCTCTCATTCCTCCAAGTTCTATTTGCATGTTGTGAAGTTGATAGGCTCCAATGCCCAGTGCTGCAAACACAAGCAGGAACAGCATCAGCACAATCATGGCCAGGCAGCAGTTCACTCCCATGAAGCCTTGACTCTTCTGTTGCCTCCTGACCCTCTCCTGGGCGGGCACGGATGACCAGCAGGGAATAAGACCCGGAGGCTGGTCAGAGTGCTGTAAACGTTCGCCTCGGTCCACGAGGAACACCTCAGGGAAGGGGTAGCTCTGGTAACTCTGGTTCATGTTGCAGGTGCGACAAAGGATCACACAGTCTGCGTGTGTGTGTGTTCATCTATTGCCTGTAGATGAAAGAGGAGGTTCCTTAGGTCTGAGCGCAGCTGTCAAAGGGAGTCCGAGCTACAGCTGTCGAGTCATATACCACTCCCTCCCACACACACACACACGTAGTCATGATAAGAGCAGGTCACATGTTATAATGTTCCAATGTTATATGTTCCAAATACAACACCTTAACCAATGTGGGTTTTTATTTAATCTATTCAAATACAGGCCTGGTGCAGTCTCTAGAAGCAGTGGGTTTGTTTATGAAAACATTGTATTTATCTTTTTATTTACATTTTCTTGGTTAATTCATATAAATATAAATTAAAACTCTGCATGTCGTTCCTCGGCTGCTGTCGGACTCATTTACTTTCCAACTGTAGTATGTGCAAATTTTTTTTTTTTTTTTTAAGAATTGTAAATCCTGACGTACACAAGTTAAAAACATAAAATGATTTCTATCACTACAGCACCATGCCATAACTTCTTCTGTACTCAGCACTATACTTTGCTGCACAAATATATAATATATATATATAAAATA